AACAGTTACTCTGGATTCTCAGTGTGTTTCCTAGAGCTGGTTTTATTTCCTGCAGTTTTCACTGTAAAACCATGTTGGAGCTAGTACCTCCAACATTTATATGTATGAAGTGGATTTTGATACTGACAAGAAGCTTTGTATTCCCAACAAGCAAGTTGAAGGACATCTTTCACACACACTTAAATCTCAGAATTGAGCATGTGGAGAAACATTCTTTCATTTAGCTCAAAGGAACGGGTTGCAGGAGAAACACTTCCTCTGGTTTGTAAGTCTGTTTCCTAATGCCAGCTTGAACTTACTGCAGTTTTCACTGTAAAAATGAGTCAGAGACAGTACCTCCCCATATATATGTATGTAGTGGCGTTTCCAACTGAAAAGAAACTTTGTGTTCCCAACAAGGTAGGTGAAGGGTGGCTTTCACACACAATTATCTCTCAGAAGTGAGCATGTGGAGAGACGTTCATTCATCCAGCACAAAGGGAACGGGTTGTAAGAGAAACAGTATTTCTGTTTACTCAGTCTGTTTCCTAGTGCCGGTTTGAATTTCCTGCAGTTTGCACAGTAAAACCATGTTGGAGCTAGGATCTCCCCATATATATATGTATTGGAGCTTGAAACTGACAAGAGCTTTGTCTTCCATACAGGCTATGTTTAGGAAAACTTTCACACACACTTAAATCTCAGAACTGAGAATTTGGAGAGACGTTCGTTCACCTAGCACAAAGGAGAAAGTTGCAGAACAAACACTTACACTTGTTTTTCAATCTGTTTTCTAGTGCCGGTTTGAAGTTCCTGCAGTTTTCAGTGTAAAGCCGAGTTGGAGCCAAGACATAGAAATATATTTGTTTGTAGCAGAGTTTCCAAATGAAAAGAAACTTTTTGTTCCCAACAAGTTAGGTGAAGGACAGCATTCATAGAAATTTATTTCTCAGAAATCAGCATGTGAAGAGATGTTCATTCATATATCACAAGGGGAACGTGTTGCAAAAGATACACTTACTCGAGATTCTCAGTGTGTTTCCTAGTGCCGGTTAGAATTTCCTGCAGTTTTAACTGTATGTCCATGTTTAGGCTTGTACCTCTGTGTGTATATGCATATACTGGATTTTGAAACTGAAAAGAAACTGTGTTCCCAACAAGCAAGTTGAAGAGCAGCTTTCACACACACTTATACTCAGAATTGAGAATGTGGAGAGACGTTCGTTCATCTACCACCATGGGAACTGGTGCACGAGAAACAGTATCTCTCATTTTGCAGTCTGTTTCCAAGTGTCGGTTTCAATTTCCTGTATTTTCCACTGTAAAACCGAGCCGTAGCCATTAACTCCATATATATATATATATATATATATAGTGGATTTTCCAACTGATAAGAAACTTTATGTTCCCAACAAGTAAGGTGAAGTATGGCATTCACACACACTTATAACTCAAAACTGAGCATGAGTTGAGACATTCATTCATCTAGCACAAAGGGAACGGATTGCTGGAGAAACACATTCTCTGGTTTCCCATTCTGTTTCTTAGTGCCAGTTTGAAATTCCTGCAGTGTTCAATGTAATACCGGTTGGACATAGTACCTCCCCATATATATTTATGTAGATGAATTAGAAACAGAGAGGAGAATTTTTGTTCCCAATAACCTAGGTGAAGGACGGCTATCACACACATATATCTCTCGGAAATGAGCATGAGGAGATATGTTCGTTCATCTAGCATAAATGGAACGGGTTGCAGGAGAAACTGTTAATCTGGTTTCTCAGTCTGTTTCCTAGTGCCTGATTGAAGTTCTTGCAGTTTTCACTGTAAAACCGTGTTGGAGCTAGTACCTCCCCATTTATATGTGTGTAGTGGAGTTTCAAACTGAAAAGAAACTTTGTGTTCCCAACAAGCTAGGTGAAGGACGGCTCTCACACACTCTTATCTCTCAGAACAGAGTATGTGGAGAGACGTTCCTTCATCTAGTAGGAAGGAACGGGTTGCAAAGACAATAACTTACTCTGCTTTCTCAGTCAGTTTTCAAGTGCTGTTTTGAAGTTCCTACAGTTTTGGCTGCATGTTGGTTAGAGCCAATACCTACAAATATATATGTATGTAGTCGGGTTTCCAAATTTAAAGAAAACTTTGTGTTCTCAAGATACACTTTGAAGGAAGGCTTTCACACACAATTATCTCTCAGAAGTGAGCATGTGGAGAGAAGGTCGTTCATCTAGCAAAAAGGAAACGGGTTGCAGGAGGAACTATTAATCTGGATTCTCAGTCTGTTTCCTCATGTCGCTTTGAAGCTCTTGCAGTTTTCACTGAAAGACAGTGTTGGATCTAGTACCTCCCCATTTATTTGTATGTAGTGGAGTTTCAAACTGAAAAGAAACTTTGTGCTCCCAACAAGCTAGGTGAAGGTCAGCTCTCACACACTCTTATCTCTCAAAACTGAGTATGTGGATAGACGTTCCTTCATCTAGAGGAAAGGAACGGGTTGCTAAGACAAACATTTACTCTTGTTTCTCAGTCAGTTTCCAAGTGCTGTTTAGAAGTTTCTACAGTTTTCACTGTAAAATTAGTTAGAGCCAGTACCTCCAAATATATATGTACGTAGTTGAGTTTCCAACTGAAAGGAAACTTTGTGTTCCCAACATGCACTTTGAAGGACGGCTTTCACACAAACACATAACTCAGAAATGAGTATGTGGAGAGAATTTCATTCATCTAGCACAAACGTAATGGTTTGAAGATGAAACAGTTTCTCTGGTTTGCCAGACTGTTTCCTAGTTCTGGTTTAAAGTTACTGCAGTTTTCACTGTAAAACCATGTTGGAACTAGTATCTCCACATATATATGCATGTAGTAGAGTTTCCAACTGAAAAGAAACTTTGTGTTCCCTTCAAGCTAGCTGAAGGATGGCTTTCACACACACTTATCTCTCAGAAATGAGCATGTGGACAGACGATCGTTAATATAGCACAAAGGGAACGGGAATACGGGGAAACTCTTACTCTGGTTTCTCAGTCTGTTTCCTAGTGCC